ATCAGCACTCCTTCAATGTTAACTATTATTTGCAATACAAAATGATGAAGGTCTAGCTAGAATGATGAGGATGTCAAGAGAGGGCTCGATACAAGAGAATTTCCAAAGGATACTCAGGCCTTGGACTCATCATTCAAGATGGAGAGAGATGAATTAGAGATGACAAAGGGTGTGAGACTAGGAGAGCAGTGTTGCCACTGACAGTGGAAACAGAGGCTGACATGAAAGTCAGATGCCTTAAGTCCAGGGAATAATGGGGCCTGAGGACTAGAGCTCAGATGGAGGCCATTCTTTCATGACAGAGATTATGTCATCCCAAGAGAGGTAGTCACTGACATTAGATGAGCCATCATGTGAGGAGACACTGAGGGAGAAGGGCAGAGGGCTGAGGACCAGACTCTGAGATCGGCCAACACTTGGAGTGCAGCAGGAGGCAGATGGCCATGAGATGACTAAGCGAGGTCAGGATGAGCAAGGAGCATAATGCATGTCTCAGAAACAAGCAGGGAGACTTAACAGAAGGAGGGGAGAGGAGCAGCATCAACTTAGGCTTAGAGGTCAATGAGAACCAAGAAGCCCTTGCTGGGCTTGGCAGAATGAAGGGGATAATATCTCCCACTGAATCATGGAAATTATTCCATTAATGTCTATGATTACTGCCGTGGCATACAAAGATGAGCCTAAAAGAGGTTGCTTACTGTGCAGAAGAGAAAACAAGTAAACATATATCTAACTATGGCACAGATAAGTGCAATGCCAGAGGCCTAGGCTGACTTTAATGGGCACAAAGCATCGGTAGTGATTAATGAGCTCACAGAGATGGTACAGTTTGTGCTGGGCCTTGAAGGTTGAATAGGTGATGGGCGACAGGGAGAAGGCATTCCAGGTACAAGACTGTGTAAAGCAAAACCTGGAAGGTGTGAGAATGCAACAAACCTCAGAGACTGAGGAGTGTGGCAAAAATAAGGTATGTAGGGCCAGTGAGAGTAAATAAAGCTAGAAATGCAGATGGAGGCAAGATTTTGAAAGGCCATAAATACCATACCAAGGAGTTCTTAACTTTTTTGGAAATAGTCATTGAAAGTTTTTGAAAATGGGTGAGACATGATTAAATCTATGCTTTAGAAAGAAAACCAGGATGGAATGCAGAAGCCTAAGAGATAGCAGGGCCAGTACAGACCTGAACATGGGTAGTGGTCTGGGAACAGGAAAATGAGAGGGTGCAAAGGGTGCCTGGACCCAATTCCAACATGTATGTGTTTGTGTGTGTGTGTGTAGGCTTCTCCATGCCAACAAGCAGTTCTTGGACACCAGCAGGGTGTCTGAGAATTCAACTCAATTCCAACGCTATTTACCCAGAGATAGAATCAGATTCCACAGGTAAAGGGCTTGGTCCCACAAGACTGCCCTCCACTTGAGATGCCAGTCGCAAGCCCAGGTTGTTACCTGTACTTCTGATTGACCAGCTACATACTGGAGGTTCCAATGACTCCCCTCCAACTCAAGATGCCAATTGAAACGCCAGGTTGTTACCTGTACTTCTGACCAACTGGCTATAAATCAGAGGTTCCCATGACCCCCTCCTTGGGTTTGATTAATTCACTACAACAGCTCACAGAACTCAGGAAAACCCTTTTATTCACTAGATTACCAATTTATTACAAAGGATACAAATCAAAAATTACAAAGGATATGAATCAAAAGCCAGATAAGAGATACATAGGGCAAGGTCCTGAACAAAGGAGCTTCTGTCCTTGTGGAGCTTGGGGCCCTGCATGGTGGTACGAGGAAGTGTTCTGGTTCCCCAACATGGAAGGTCTCCGAAAAAGGGCTGAGGAGCTGTCCTTTTGGGTTTTTATGGAGGCTTCATTACATAGTCATGATTGACTAAGTCATTGACCACTGGCATTTGATTCACCTTCAAGACCCCCTTCCCCTCCCCAGAAACCAGAAGATGGGGACTGAAAGTTCTAATCCTCTGATCACAGGGCTGGTTCTCCTGGCAACCAGCCCCCACCCTAGGGTGGGGTCCAAAAGTCATCTTAATAAACATGACAAAAGGCACCTTTATGGCTCTCATCATTTAGAAAATTGAAATTCCAAGGGTTTGGGTTGCTGTGAGCCAGGAACTGCGGACAAAGACCAAATATATATGAGAAATATATTTTGGTAATCTGAACGACCAAATATATATTTCTTATAAATCACAATATCGTGGAGGACAAAAGGGCAGTATCCCAGAGAGACAGGGCTTGACAAGGAGTGGAGGAGAGCACACTGGCAGGTTTGAGCCTGGGTGATTGGGCACAGGCGGCACCATCCACAGACATAAGCAAGTCTGGAGGCAGCTCAGGTAGGTACGGGTGAGAGCAAGCTCTGGATATAAGGAGAGAGGGAGGAATCAAAGACGACCAGTTTATGGTTGTGTACCTAGATGGCTGCTGATGCCATTGTCCAAAACGAAAAGAGATGCACATTTGCTATGAGAAGTGTTTGATTTTAGATATGGTAAGGCTGAGGTTCCTAGGAGGTGAAGTTTTAAAATCAACTTTATTGAGGTATAACTTATGTATAATAAACCATTCATTTGATGTGTATAATGAATTCTGACAAATGTATACACCTGTGCAGGGCCAGCTTCATGGGCATGTGACCAGTGGTCACACAGGATGCTACTCTCAGAAGGGCCCTGGGCTTGGAGTTGAATGCTATGAGCTCACAGTCTTGAAATTCTTAATAATTTTATGTTTGAATTTGTGTTTTGTGAATGAAGTCCAATGGGACAGTGGATGGTGTTGTGGGGGAGGGGATTGGAGCCTGAGCTCCTGCTGAGTTTCATCTTCTATCACCCCCACTGCCCCCAACCTTGACTCTCACCCACTCCACTCACCCCTACCCCCACCTCAGGGTCAGGCTGACGCCCAGGTGTCTCAGGGCAGGGCATGGTGGCACCCCAGCACATTCAGAGAGCAACACGTGAGCATCTCACCCATCAGGATCCAGGTACTACGCACATCCCAGCAAAGAGGTTGCACTTCCTTGGAGGTCACTCGTGGGGTGGCAGCCCATGGGAAGGAAAGATACCTGGGAAAAGAAGTGTTCCTGTTCCCCAGGAAAACACAACATTAAATAGCAAACAAAAACAGCATGATAGAGAGGTTGATAGAGACCACAGAAAAAGGAAAAAGTTTTATAATTTACTACCTTTAGTGGCATTTTTTTCCTACTTCCCCATATTTTCATTTTCCACTGAGCCATGCAAATTACACAGCCAGCCCTGCGCTGGTGTAACTACCACCACAATCAAGATGCAGAATATTTCCATCAGACCCAAGTTTTCCTCTTAACCCTTTGCAGAGTCACCCCCCCAATCATGGGCCTACTTTTGAGACAGCTGAATTGGAGGTTCAGGGCTCCGGACCTCCCAGCTGGAATTCAGGAAAAGCAGGGCTAAAACAGATTCCAGAGTAACCCCCATAAAGGTTAACCTGAGAGAACTGTGATGACCCAAAGAAGTGTAAGCAGGAAGTGTGGGCTGCCCCCATGCAGGAATTAAGAGAGGGGCCAGCAGAGGAGAAATCGCACGTAGAGGGCAGGAGAATTTGCCATATCAAAAGCATATGGACTCACGAAAAAATTACCAAATTAAAAGTAGTTGGAACTTGGGTATGCTTTGTTGATGAAGGATTAGGGAAAGCATATGTATGAGAACCTGGTACATAAATACTTCCCTTTGGAAGCCAGGTCATCAATCAAACGGAGAAAAACAAAAAACACCTTCTCCTTGCTCGGGGAGCCTTTCAGTACCCCAACCCTGCTTCCCCCGTCCAGTCTCCTCTTCCTGCCCTGGGCCTGCAATGTCCTGCCCCCTGATCTTGGCATAGTTGACTCCTCCTTATCATCCAAATCTTAGTTTAAACCTCCTCAAAGGTTTTAACTTGCCCACTCACCAACGTAAAAGGGCACCCAGCCGTCACATCAATTTAATACACCCATGTAGTACACCCGGTCGCACCTATCATTTTTAATGTCTGTCATGTCCCCCATTTTGACCCCCCCCCCCAAAAAAACGAAATAGAACAAGAAAGAGAACTTTGCCTTATTCAGGGCTGAATTCCCAGGGCCTAGAACTGAGCGTCAGGCATATGGTTGATGCTCGATAACTTCTGTATAAGAAGGAATAAGAATCATAAAAAGGAATGAGAGTCCTGCTCCCAAATCGTGTTCTTCCCCTGCAGGGCGGAGGTCAGGAGGAACTCGCAGGTTGGAAACGGAACTGTACCTATTGCATCCTTTCTTGCCTAATCCCATGCGGGGTATAAGAACTTTTTTCAGGATCTTTTACAAACATTTCCCCAAGTTATTCTCACTTCAACCCTCAAAGGCTGTATCACATTTTCGAAAAAAGGTCATGGGGTCTTCGATGACTTCTCCAAGGTCAGCCAGTGAGAGGCCGACTTCTTAGTTACGCCGGAGTCGGCCCACTCCAAGGCCGGTGCCGTCCACGCCCGAGCACCGCCCGCAGCCCGCCCCTCGCCCCGTACCCGGCCCGCTGCGGCCCCCAGCTCGCCTGCGCCCGCCCGGGCTGCCCAAACTCGGACGCCCGAGCGCGGAGCCGGGTTCCGGGGCTCACAGCCGTCGCCGTCGTCGTCGTCGTCGTCGAAGGTGAGGCGCACCAGCCAGCGGCGCGGCCAGCAGAGGGCGGCAGACGTTACCAGGAAAGCGGGTGTAAGAGCCTGGGCGCGTGCTGCGCCGGGTCGGCTCGGCCCAACGGCTGGACGCTGGGCCCGGGTGTCCCGGCAACAGGCAAACACTGCGCGGCCCGGCCCCCGGCGCGCGCCGCCCGGCGTTTGTGCGCGCGGCCGGCCGGCGTTCCCCAGCCCCGCGGCTTCGTCGCCGGCAGTCGCGCAGCCCGCAACGTGGGTGCGGCGGCCGCTCCAGCCCGGCGTGGCGGCAGGTCGGTGCTGGCTGCCCCCTAGCCTCGCCGGGCTCCCCTGAACGTCTCGGCCTCGGCGCGCGGCGCCGCGGGAGGGGCTCCTGAGAACCGTGGCGAGCTCCCGGGCCTGCGGCGGTTCGCGGGCGAGTGCGGGGGAAGAAGCCCGGTGCGCGGCAGGAATGGGCGCCGGGGCGCCGTCCCCGGGTGATGCGGACAAATGGGGTCTCTCTCCTTGTTTCAGGATTGGGAACCTATGCCACCCTCACCTGCTCAACTGAGAGAGGAATTACCATGGTAATACACGTCTTATTTAAGTATGAGATTCCGGGGCTCTAGCTATATTACTCTAGTACCCTTCTGCCCTGTAGAGGCACGCTTTACTAAGATGTTACCCACGCCTTCCTCTCCTCTTTCTGTGGGTGCTGGCGGATCAGTGATCTGAACACTTGGGGCAAAGATGAGGGCGGAGAGGGGTTTCCCAGGTGGTCTGCGCCCGCCGAAGGGGACAGCGGCAGCAGAATCAGGCTAAGCCCTCTTTGTAAGATGGTTGGTTTAGTCCCTTGGTTCTGTGAGCCACTTTCACACCCAGAAGATGGTTTATATGTGGGAGATGAAGAGAGGCTGGTAACGTGGTGTGGACTCCAGGGCGCCAGTACAAGCCATGCCGACAGCGACTGGCCCAGGCGCTTAGCTACTGCTGCCCCCGCCCTGGGTCCCATGCGGGATTCTTTGCGGTTTAAGGAAGTAGAAAGTGAGCCCTGATGCAACCCAGACTGCCGGCTCTGGAGAGTGATTCTCTCTTCCAACCCCAGTCTGAGGAAAGGGCTTGGAGGAGACCTTTTGTGCGGGAAGTTCTTGCGTTTTATGCCCTGGAAAGCTTGCAACATCCTTACAGCCATCTCACCTCTAAGTCGTCCGCCAGATTACTCGCTGAAAACTCATAACTCCGTTTCCAACTTCCCGCCAGAGTTCTCCACCAGAGAGCGTTTTCAAACTGTGTTCAAAATCTAGCTCTTTTAACCACTACCATCTCTGCACTTTCCAGTAGCACGTTCATTCTCCTGGCCTCAAGCTCACAGCACTTCTGTTCCTCAGCCCTGGTTCAGTCTCTGGCAGCCTGTCCTACCCTCACTGTCACTGGTCAAGTCCTGCCCTCCTTTCCAACTGCCTGGATTCTGGCAGTAGCCCACTACCTCGCTGTCCAGGGGCTCTCTGTCTCTTTTGTCTTCCTTCCCTGCCAGTTTGATGGTCCCAAAACGTCTGTGAGCTTGTAGCCCCCACCCGAGGTCCTCAGGGACTTCCATTGTCTGCTGAACTCAGTACTGCTCTCCTTGAACTTGGTGCTCAGAGCTCTTGGTAAAGGGACCTCAACCTCTTAAGCTTTATCTACGGTATTCTCTGCTTTTTTTTATTTTAATTGAAGTGTAGTTGATATACCATGTCGTAGTCTCTGCTTTAAAAAAAAAAAAAATCTCACATTAGACCCACATTCTTCTGGAAGCCTCCTGCCCCTGCCCCATCTTGAGCTATTGATCTTTTCTTCAAGACCCACCCAGCTCAGAAGTACCTCTTGCTGCCCTATTCCTCCCTAAGCGCCTGTAGTGCTCTGTACCTCACTGTGCTTTGCCTGTTTTGCCTTGGAAAGCCTTACTCCTCACCCGCCTTTGACTGCAGCATTGAAAAGTGTTTGGTAAATCTCTCTGTTCCTTCCAGTTAATTGCGTGTAAAAGTACTAAATAAATACCTCTTGATTTATTTTATTATTTTTGTGTGTGTGTGAGGAAGATTAGCCCTGAGCTAACATCTGTCGCCAATCCTCTTTTTGCTGAGGAAGAGTGGCCCTTGGCTAACATCCGTGCCCATCTTCCTCTACTTTATATGGCACGCCGCCACAGCATGGCTTGATAAGTGGTGCGTTGGGGCCGCCTGGGATCAGGGCCCCAGCCCGCCGCAGTGGAGCACGCGCACTTAACCGCTTCGCCACTGGGCCTGCCCTGTATCGCTTGATTTAAAGTGAGAGTCATACCCAGGTTACTTCACATGGTTGATGTTGCCGTTTTCTTTCAGAGCTCAGGGAACGGAAGCAGAAAGGCTTAATAAAGGCATTTAAGTTAATGGCTTCCCACTGCTCCTTGTGTAAAGGTCCAACACTTTAGCTTCCAAGGCCTGCAGGGCAGAGCTGCACCTACTTTTCCAGCCTCAGCTCCTCTCACTGCCCCTCTTGGTTGCCTGTAGGCCAGCCACATTGACTTTTTTTTGGTCCCTTCAAGTTTGCGTGTTCTCTCCAGCCTCAGAGCCTTTGCACATGCTGTTTGCTCTGCCTGGGAATTCACTACCCCTCAGTCCACAGGCCACTCTCAGGAACCCTCTTCCTTCACATCCCAGGCTAGGTTACTCCCTGCCCTTCCCATGTAATCATAATACCAGGTACCCTGGGTTCTTCCTTCACAGCATACTTGGTGAGTAAATGTATTTGTGATTAGGTGGCTAGTATCTTTCTCCCTCACTGGACTGTAAGTCTCCTGAGGACAGGAGCCCAGATCTGCTTTGCTCTCCATCTAACATAGAGCCTGGTGCACAGTAGATATTTATTAAATATTTGTTGAATAAATGAAGGAGGCATCTTAAAATTCAGGAAAGCAGAAATCTGTATTTGCTTTCTAAATCCTGGGTCTGCGTTGCATCTGAGTTGCAATTTATTCACTCAGCAAATATTTATTCATCCCTACAGTGTGCCAGACATTGGCCTAGGCCCTGGGGATTCAGTGGTGAACTCATAGACAAAACCTCTGGTCAGGGAAACATACAGTAAATACATAAACAAAAAAAAAATACCGTTGAATAGTGAAGAGTGTTTAGGGTAGGAGATAGAAAGTGACATGGCTGGGAGGGATGTCGGGAGACCGTCTGTACCTCCTCCCCCTTTTGCCTGGGACAGTCCAGTTTATGTTTGTTGAAGTGTCTTGGTTTGGGCAATGAATTATATGGTCACCCTAGTTATAGACAGAATATAGACATGGTGTCTGCGAGGTTTTTCTAAAGAGGTGATATTTGAGCAGAGATCAGCACAAAGAGAAAAAACAAATTTTGCCTCCTGTGAAGGTGTGCAGGAAGAGGAGGGAGCAGGGAGGAGCTTGATGAGTTTGGGAACTAGAAGGAAGCCGAGTGTTACTGGAACCAGGTGGTCTTCATTAAGGAGTTTAGAGGGTTTTAAGTCAGGAGCTATGTGTTCTGAGTGGTATTGAACCAACCCAACCACCTCAGCAACTGAAAATTTTTACTCCCATATAATAATTTCTTAATAGATTTATTGAGTTATAATTGATGTATAATAAATTACACATATTTAAAATATACAATTTGGTAGGCTTGGCATATGTATGAGCCCATTAAGCCATCACCACATTCAAGATAATAGACATGTTGATCATCCCGAAAAGTTTCCTTGTGCTCCTCTGTAATCACTTGTTTTCTCTTGCCTCTCCCTGTACCCCTGCATCCCTCTCCCAGACAACCACTGAGCTGCTCTCTGTCTTTGTAGATTAGTTTATAATTTCTAGGATTTTATATATATATATGTATGTATGGAATCATACAGTATGTATTATTATATTGGGGGGGTCTGGCTTCTTTCACTTCTATAATTATTTTGAAATTCACCCATGTTCTAGCATGTATCACTAGTCCTTTTTATTGCTGAGTAGTATTCCATTGTGTGCTTATACCACAGTTTGTTTATCTGTTCACTCACTGACAGACTTTTGGGTGGTTTCCGGTTTTTAGCTATTACAAATAAAGCTACTATGATCATTCATGTATAAGTCTTTGAATGGTCTGTGCTTTCATTTCTCTTGGTAAATACCTAGGAGTGGAATGGCTGGATCATATGGTAGGTTTGTGTTTAACCTTTTAAAGAAACTGGCAAATTGTTTTCCAAAGTGGCTCTGTCATTTTAGATTTCCACCAGCAGTGTGTGCGAGTTTCACTTCCTCCACATCCTCACCAACACTTGGTATGATCAGTTTTTTTTTTGTTTTTTGGTGAGGAGATCAGCCCTGTGCCAACATCTGCCAATCCTCCTCTTTTTTTGCTGAGGAAGACTGGCCCTGGACTAACATCTGTGCCCATCTTCCTCCACTCCACATGGGACGCGGCCACAGCATGGCTTGCCAAGCAGTGCGTTGGTGCGTGCCTGGATCCGAACTGGTGAACCCTGGGCTACCACAGAGCAGACGCACTCAACCGCCTGCGCCACCAGGCTGGCCCCATGATTAGTTTTTTTAACTTGAGCCATTCTAAGAAGTGTGTGGTGGTATCTCATTGTGGTTTTAATTGCATTTCCCTAATGACTTGATGTTGAGTACTTCATGTTCTTTTAGGCCATCTGTATATCTTCTTTGGGGAAGTATCTAAATCTTTCTTTTTTTTGTGAGGAAGATCAGCCCTGAGCTAACATCCACGCCAATCCTCCTCTTCTTTTGCTGAGGAAGACCGGCTCTGAGCTAACATCTCTTGCCAATCCTCCTCCTTTTTTTCTTCCCCAAAGCCCCAGTAGACAGCCATATGTCATAGTTGCACATCCTTCTAGTTGCTGTATGTGGGAC